TATAAAATTTTGTGTAAATTTAATTACAAATACTATAGTTAATAAGATTTGATATGCCCTCTAATGACACAAATTAAAAAACTTCAATTTACAAAATACAAAAATATTTATAAAAAACAAATGCAATAAGTTGGTTGCTCTCACATTATTGTTGATTACTTTAATATGCATCCAGTATGTATCATATACTCCAACATCATTTAGTGTAGCAATTTGTCTCATCATAGTATTAATTCTCCTTGAGAAGTTAAATTACACCACTCTATATGATATGGCTGTTCTCTTATCACCAAATTAAAGTCTTAATTTCAATGATTATCAAAAAAAAGACAAATCAAAATTTCGCACTTGACTTTTGAAACCTAGTAGCATTAATCACCAATGTATTCTCCTCCCGAACAGAGTTCGAAACCTGTCACTTACAAAATATGTTAAAAAAAAAATCAAAATTTCAATTATCAATATAATTCAATTTTTGGCTCCCAAAAAAAAATTTTATTATTAATTATTCAGCTGTTGCAGCTAGTCATATCCAATATCTTTTGCCATCAAAACTTCAAAGTTCAAATCCGTGAAATCAAATCAATCTCTCCCACTCCCAGTCAATACTCAAAAGACAAATACACGCTAACTCCCTGTTTGGAAAATTGGAATTGGGGTTTTCTTTGAAAAGCTCAGTTTGTTTTCTTTGATAATAAGAAAAGCATAAGAACAATTATTAAAATAAGATAATTTTATTACAAAATCCCAACACGAAATAAAATAGATAGGATACAACCATGTTGTCCCACCCATCTCCAAACAAATCAAATCACTAACAGTTACACTCAACCAAACAACCAACCAAACTGACCCCTAAATAAAAACACACAAGAAGGCAAAAACAGATAAAAAAAAAAAATCCAAAAAACCAACCCAAACAAATAGGACCTTAGTAGTTTACATCTCTCCGTCCTAGACAGCTCAGCCCATAAAGCAAGAGCCAAACACGGTGCTGACGGTACACACTTTTATTTTGTTTTATTTTATTTTTATCATATTATCTTGCTCACGGCCGCAGGTGATCACAGAGAGAAGGGAGTGAAATTACTAAATTGCCAGGACGAGTCCCGGAACAGACTTTCCGGCGAGGTTGGAAAGGCTGCTCTCCCAAATGGAAGGGCAACGCACGGGAGTAATATCAGCCGTGGATGACGACGGTTTGTTATAAGCGGACGGCGGAGATTGATTTGGGTTTCCGAGGCGGGTAACCGTGAGAGAAGTGTTGAAGTACTCCCTCACCTGAGTAATTATCCCATCCGTTACGGTCCAGGCGTGAACCCAGGAAATGGACCCGCTTGAGTCGCAGCCCTCGGCGATGACGGTGGACCCGAAGGTATTGAGAGAAAGAGGATCAAATTTGAAGGAATCGTCCGATGAGGCTCCAGTCAGCAGGCGCACCATAAACTGGTGAGTCGGGGGACCATGGAACCACCACTCTAGGTCCGGAGCTAGAATCTGGTGAACCTTGTCCACGTCTCGAGCCTTTAGGGCGTCATAAAAGGCAAGAACCACCTCTTGGTTCTTGTAATCTCCCTCCAGAATTGGATCCTGTGTGTTAGCCAGTTCGTGAAAAGAACACGGAAAAAAGACAATTAACGCAAAGCCAAACGAGGAATTTAAGACTTGAAAGGAGAAGTGAGAAACCAGAAAGAACCGATGAGGGCATTGTTTGGGGAAGAGGCATTGCTTATATAGAGAAGGAAGGAAATGGAAATTTTATTGAGTGCATCCGTTTTTAGGGAGCACTTCTCCAATGTCCAATCACGAGTAAGGACTTTGGGCTGTTTAGTAATTTTGTTAAAAGAAGGGTGTAAGTTAGTAATTTACTCCCTTCCTCCGCAATAGCTGGGG